ATAGTACATCTCGAATCATGTATCAAAATCAGAAACTCTCAAGAATATGGTCAATTACGATATTAATAAAAACAATGTTTAGCCCTCTGCTGAAATGAAACAGGTAAATGTCACTTGTTGTGAGGTGACAATGGAAAAAATCCACAAATGTATGCATATAGTGTTTTGTACGTATTAAGTTTGAGATATATGTAAAAGAATTTCCCTGTCATGATTAGTATCGTGTAGATGGCGTGACATTCTTCCTACCATGGACCTGATATTCAATTCCAGATGCTGCCAAGATTTGGTTGAAGCACTCTGCCATGTCATGAATATATAATTGCAGTTTGCCCCTCAGGCTGAGATGTTCCTCCTTCCTACTATCCTCTGGATATACATTTCTTGTGAGTCAGATGTTGGTTAGAGATGGTCCAGCTAATTAAGTCCTCACACGTGCTGGCCGGTATCCCTCTTCTTGCCGTGGACTGGATGACAAATATCCCTGGTGCGATGTTTTAGACTGGAGGTGAACCCCAAAGTTGTGGTGGGTCTGGTGTTGGTTGTAGCTAGATTCAGCACATTTTCCAACTTGTGTATGACTGGATACCCTCATCTTACCACAGACTGGAAGTTCTATACCTCCTTGCTGTCAGGTTCTGAACAGGAGATGTCATCCCGCTGGGGCCTTTCACCTTCCTACCATCTGCTGGATGTCAGTTCCTAGTGGATCTTATGTTGGTTGTGTTGGAAATGCACAAAAGTGGTGAAGGATTTTGGTATGAAAGCTTGTCTTTACTATCAATTTCCATTTCGAGGTGAAGAGATAGCTGATCCTCTACCTACCGTGGATCTTGATGTATCATTCCAGATACTGCCTCGTGTTGGATGAGGTCAAACTACACTATTGTCTATCGCACCCAAGCCACTTGAAACCCTGGAGTCCCATTTATCGGTCATTCCTATTCTGGGATTGTTTCATGTTATTCCGCCTTTATGCTCGTGACACTATCATAAAAGAGTAAAGAGTATACCTGGATCAGATGTGGTGCATTCTTCTGTTCAGGTATGATGTTTTCTCTTTTTGTTCCACACCTCCTGGTCTCTCTTTGGGTGTTTTCTGAAGGGGGATAATTTTTTTTATCAGCCCTCCACCAGTTCACTGTAGGATTCTAGCTATTTTGTGAGAAGAGGTAAGATATCATATCAGAAGGTAGCAAATGTATTGCCAATAGAAACTTACCTCCTCTCACATTTCCCACCCAGTTTCCCCACTTCCAGTGATATTTGGTGTTGGTATTCTGACCAATCTCGAAGTGATTAACGAGTGCAGATGTGAAGAGGGTGCTGGTTACAATAGGAGTGGTGTCATGCTCCTATTGGTGGAAAGCTGCTGCATAATCATTATGCATGTGGATATGCAGAAGTGGAAAGTAGAAGGCTAGTGGCATGCATTAAAAATTTGCCCCTATAGAGGGCAGAGCTAGTTGAGAAAAACTGTTTTAGGAGAGGAAGTAAGAATCTAATGGAAATACATTTTCAGTGTAGGAAAATGCTAACTTCTGTCTCTTAAGTGCATTATTTAAATAAATAAAACTTTAGTGTACCAGGACCATCATTATATTAAAAAAAAAAACAGTAGGCTTAAATTTCATTTGCAACCAACAGCAAAAAAACAAGAGGTCAGAGGTAAGTACCATATTTCTTATTTTTCATGTATATTCTTTATTTATTGTTATAAAAGTAAGTAGAATATAAAAATTAGAAAATTTTAGGTTAGATTAGGTAACTTAATGAAAAATATAAAAACAATTCTTCATTGGCTATACTTGCTAGCAGCTCATGTGTTACATCATT